CAATTTAACCTAACCTTGTTCAAAATATAATATATGTATAATGGTAATTAAATATGTATTCCCTCTCAACAGCGATAGTTTAACATAAGATAAAAGATCACAATCAAGTTTTCTTTAGTAATTTGAAAGATATTTCAGAGGTTTCGTGTCTGTATAATCCTGTATACAGGGGTATATTAAAAAACATTTCAAATTTAAATTTAACAAAATTATTTGGCCAAGAGCAAGAATAAAAATCAAAGTAAGATAATTTTCCGAGTACGGTTTTATGATTCTTGATTCGTTATATTTATTATTATATGATTCTACATATAATAAAGATCACTGCAATGTCAAGTTAAATACCGAACACACGACTATCACCCTTAGAACYTTATGTTATACATATACATATACAGTTGTCTCCGTATTGCATGGTTGAAACAACCTTTTGCAATCCTCTAATTCAATTTAGAATTCTTCCTTCAGTATAGTATGCCTGCTGGAACCAAGTCTCATAAGAAAATTGACACCAACTCAAAACCGCATTACTGTTAGCTTCGTAACCAAACCACAGCTTCATGAAAAGCATAATATAGAAGAATTCAAGTGACATTTAATCAAATAAAAATTGAAGCAGCTTCAAAAATTAAATAAAAAGTCACATACACTTCAAAAAGTATAATATTTCGCACAATAGCGGAACAGAGACCGTTTGATGACATTAAAAGTGTCTAAAGTCACTACAAGAGAATTTTAGAACTATGACAAACTGTTAACCCAGAATTATGGTTTTAACATATTGTCATATATAATACTAATAATTCAATTTTTTTCATCTAAGTCTCGTTGCGTGAAAGAAATTTGATACTTTGACGCAAATGAACACCAAAAACCCAACAAAAAGCAGAAAACATGCTAGAGCACAACAATAAAGTGATGGGCAATATTGTATTTTCGAAAACAAGGCAGTAAAAGATATGAGTGTACATATGTATGCATATATATGGTATGTAAATGCAACACATTTTGGCCACATATGTGTGCACTTACGAACACACACACATACATACAAACACATATATTTTATTGTTATGCCTCTGTTTGTGCGCCAAGTCAAGTATTATTTTTCCAGCGCAAATTGCTGTGTGTCACCATTCTCAGGCGCTTTGGTGTTGCTAGCTGGCAGCAGGGTTCAACTTCTGGTTAAATTTTAGCTCTTTCAAGGCACATGTGTGTTGCAGTTAGTGTCGAAGAGGCGTTGGGTTGTGATGTGTAGCGAAAATAAAGGCAATAAAGGACACAAATTTATGTATAAGGAAGTCTATATGTTATTATACATATGATGACACATACATTACTAATTACATAAATTTTGCTGGCTTTTTAAAGCTAACACCTCTATTATAATAATTTTGGAAGTGGTAGTATAGCAACAAATATAAGAATTTATCTAGTTATTTTCACCAAAGAACGTATGTTTGCAAATTATAGCTATTTTTGTCCCGGTTTCTATTATCGCTGAAGAAAACTGATTTCTCATTTCAAATTTCACATGTGAGAAAAGCAATTCTTGCTCATCTAGTCCTTTTTGGAAACACCGAATGAAAGGAATCTGGGTTCAAACAGGTTCTCGATAGTGATTTTGAACTCACTTTCTTAATTCTCTTAGAAAATAATTAAAGTAATAATATTTGCCACAGCTGAAACTCACATTTTTCCTAAAACTTACTGCTTTAAAACCAGATTTATTTCTTTGCTTTGGCTTGAGCATCTCTGTCTATATTTCATGAATTTTAATACTGTAACACGTCGCAAAACTATACAATAGCCCAGGAACAATAGTCCGAAGACTGTGAAAAAGCTTCAGCACCATTAGCTGAGTTCAGGTGTGAAACCCAGACATGTCGCTAACTAAAATTGTAAGAAAAGGGTTAAAAAACATATATATAAATGACTGAAAAACTCTAGAAATAGTATATTTGTGAGAGCTAAGCGTTCGTGTCTTGTCAAATTATTTTTTCTCCACGACCGAAAACTTCCACGATAGCAATAGAAAGAGTGTTAGAACAGAAAAACCAAAAAAATATTAACATTATTACCAGATTTGATATTTTTCGATTTATTTCCATTAAATTTTACAATAATGCAACCCTGTACCCCAGAAAATCGTCACTAATTAGCTATAGATACCACATTTTTCAAAACTGTTTTGTTTATACGACGAAAATTGTTTAACATTCGACAGGCCGTATGCATATCTACTTATGTTTGAGTATGTGCGATAAGCATTGAACGCGCATTGACGCTGAGTGTTCGCTGCCTGGCTATCGCTTTGCCGTCGCGTTTACGCTGTTGCTGCCGTCAGTAAGGTGTATGTTATTGATGACGGCCACGTAAATTTGTGTTTTTGTACTGTTTTCTTTGATTTGATATCATTTCCATGCTTATCGCTTAGCTGTTTACCGATATTCCATACAAATTGTCCATATTGTGTTATCTTTTTTGCTCTAACAAATGTAACTAGTGTATTAACACACTTATGGATGATCTAGATATATAAATATATTATATTTTAGTGCTTTTGGCTCGAAAACGGCAGAGTTTGTATGCCTTTTATTAATCTGCTGCATCGGCTAGTATTATTTGTGACGTTGCTTACGTAGCAAACAGTTTGTGGTGTACTTTGGTGCTAGGTTTGAAAAATATTATTTTTAGCTAAAAAATAAATTATTAATATATTATACAAGGAAAATAATTGTTCATTAAATTTATTTTCGGTGCAAAATATATTTACGTACATTTTCTTATTTCAAAAATATATTAAAAATAAAAAAAGTTTAAATTAAATATTTCCGTTTCAATTTAAAAAATTCAAAATTCAAAATTTATTTTTTTTCACATTAAAAATTAAATAAACTATTTTTGGACTGCCAAATGATTATTTTCATCGCACCAACAATTGCCTACATACATATGTATATGTATGTATGTATATCTACTTATAATTTTTTTTTAGAAATATAAAAAATTCTTTTGCTACCAGAAATTTTTATTAAAATACTACTAATTATTGTGGTAATTTTTGATATATTCTACAATATGTGTCTTTTATTATTTTACAGCTAAAATTTGTAGAAAAATAAATATATATAAAATGTCTCCAATTCTATATTTGTACTCTTATTTTGATATTTCACACATTTTTTTAGCGTAAAAATTTATTTTGTTATTGTCATTACTATTCTAGCGAAATTGTGTAAGAATAATTCTATTAAAACTTTTAATACAGTATTTTTTATAAACTAATTTTCGACTTAACAATTAATTTAAATAATTAATTTTTCTCATGCTTAACAATTTTTAAATTAAGTTCTTAAATTTAACAAATTATTAATAAAGATTTTTATAGAAAAAAAATTTCGATCCACATTTGGACACACTCAAATTTTTGTTATTTAACTAAATTGTTTTTATTTTATGAAATAAATTTACGACTTAAGTTTCCTCAAGCTAAAAATTTTTTAAATTTAACAAATTATTATTAAAGATTTTTATAGAAAAAAAATTTCGATCCACATTT